CCCCCACACCATCCACGACGCCAATAACAACAACAACAACGACCACAACAACGTCAATCACAACGCCGACAATAACACCAACAGTATCGCCCGGCGCTCCAGGGCCCGTGGAAAGAATTGATGATGACATGTACCGCCAGTTTGCGGGCGAGGACTACCTCATTGATGCAAAAGATTTGAGAGACTTGCTGAATGCTCTTTGTCTATCTGGTAGGCGATGTGGAACTGTAAGCACTTCTTGTTTTTTGAAAATTAATTATTATTTTTATCATTATTATTATTTTGCCTTTTATTTTCTAATATTCCTTCATTCTAAGCTCAACATAAATATTACTGTAGAACCAAACAGTATTCTTCAGAAATTGTTAAAACAAGCCCTGTAGCTCTAACATAAGTAACTAAACATATAAAAATAAATAAATTTAATTAGGGTATCAGCAGTTCTGACGTGCTCGTTTAAGGTTTCTTGTTTATGGTGCTTTTTTATCATTTATTTTCCAGCTTATGGTAGTGAAGGAGGATTCTCACTGGAAACTGCTCGCAGTCTTCTTGCCATGTACGACGTATCCTTTTTCCGTGCTAAAAAGTTAGATAAAGTACTGTTATGCAACTTAAATTCGTGTGGGGGCATTTAAAGGGTCTGGCTGATAGATTTTACAGAAGAATAATCGTTTTAACTTACATTCTGCGTGTTTTCGACAATTTCTCAGACCGGCCCTTTTGCCCTCAAACGCAACATATTGTATGAATTTATGAATTAAACACTATAACGTAGGTGTTAGTGAAATATTCCAAATACGGGTTTATAAAGCCCTTCCCGTGTTCGTCATATTTCTTAATGATATTAATCTAGACGTGGCATTTGGGCGTCGTGTCCAGTGAAGAGGCTAGTAAAGTGTGGGCGTTTGTCAAGAACTGGAAGGTGAGTTTGTACTCAGAAATTTCCTGTGGGGGTCTTAAAAAAATTTCCCACCATTATTTGGCCCAACTGGCACAGAATTTAAATAAATTTAGATTCAGAACGAATCTTTTTCGGCCATAACGGCGGTTCTATAGTTCCCCCCCCCCCCTCCCGCGAATTTCCGACTAGTCCTTGCAATAGTGATGAAATTCGTTTTGTTTTAACGGTAAAACTAAATATAAATTTTCAAAGAAATATTTTCCTCCTGTAAGTTATTAGAATGCAAGTAAAAGAACGGTTGACCTTGCAGTATTGAGTATAATTTATAGAACAAATTAACGTTTGATTTAGGAACGGTTTGATCGGTTTGACAAGGATAACTCAAGATCCATCGACTCGCTGGAATTAAGGCGTATCTTCAGGGATAGCGGTAATCTCTCTCTCTCTCTCTCTCTCTCTCTGCTAAAGGATTTTATATTGTTTCACATTTTTGCCTTTTGCATTATTCAGATTCCAGTTCTATAATCTGTAAGCACTGGTAGTAATGATGAACCTCTAAAAGTCTGATCAGGAAACTGCTTCATTGTAATAAAACGTTTACGTACGACTTTTCAGGGTTTTCTTTAAGTTTGGCCAGTTCGATGGCTCTATCAGTCCGCTATGGAGGCCGCCTTGGATCAATAGGGTTTGATGACTTTATCCTCTTGGTCGCCAAGACAAAACGCTGCTACGACAGTTTTATCAGTTTTCAAGCGAACCCCAAGGAAGACGCTACGGTTAACCTTGAACAGGTAATACAATTAAAAAATTGAAAATTTATTATCCGAAAAAAATCATGTGCATGCTATTAGTATAGCCTGTAGTTCATTAATTTGATAAAGTCAAGTAGTCCAGATTACTTCTTTATGATAAAGAGATTTACGTGTGTCCATCATTTAGGTATGCGACGTTAAAATGCCTTTACTTTTTTTCAGTGGATGGAAGCTGCTTTGTATCTTTAAGAAGACAGTGGCAACGATACTCCCTGTTCGATACATGAAAAGAATGCCCAAAAATATAAGTTCGTTAGGATTTAGAGTTTAAGTAGGAGTACAAAAGCTATATTCGAGGGGCACTCCGCGGGATTTTCCCGACAAGATGAAGTTTCTTGTAGTAAACAGCAATTTTTCTACTAATCAAGAAAAATTGTTTGAGCCGTCCTTGCACTTGGATTCGATGTTTTATTCCATTTACATAACATATGACTACCCTCTACCAGGGCGACTGATAGATTTTTACGGATATTCACAGATATGTCTCTAGCTAGATAGATTGTCATTTTAACTCTAAGTCAGAGTTAAAATGACAATCTATCTAGCAAGAGTAAGTCAGAGTTAAAATGACAATCTATCTAGCAAGAGACATATCTGTGAATATCCGTAAAAATCTATCAGTCGCCCTGGTAGAGGGTAACATATGACCGTGGGGGATTATCTATCAAACGCTTGGAGAGAACCTTATCTTTTTGGTGGGAAAACCCCATGGAATGGTCCCAAAAAAATAAACAATAACTCTCTACCACATGAGATTTGCAGCATAAATAAAAAAAATGGTTAAAAAAATGTTTGACCTGTTAGACTTCGGGTACTTGACTTGAAGTATGAAGACTTGAAGACTAATTTTACTGTGGGCATACTGAACCGTGATAATTCCATTCAGCAGACTTTCACGTAAAGAAAGTAACAAATGTGAAAAACAAAATTGATAACCTAAAGTAAGCCCCTGGCTTCAACAAATTTAAGTGGCCTAGAGAATTAAACAGGGGAAAAATTTGGTCTTGCAAGACTTTGCGTCTTATGAAGAAGGAATTCTAACTGTGGAATAATGGGGAATAACTATTCAGTGCTGCTACCACATTATTGTAAGGCCGAGGTATACTGTGAAAACCGTGAAAATCGCGCTTCCCTCTCAACCCCTCTTCACACCAGCAACACTTTGCCCTTTGTGGAATCCTTGGGTCCACTGTCTGTGTAACAACTAAAGTTGTTGGTTGGTGTGAATATGCTTCATTTATGTTAACACGTTAGGCCTATTTATTTTTTATCATTATCAACGGATAACAACTGTTCATTTTGGCCAAAAATGAATTTTTCTGGGGTAAAGGACAATTTCCATACTTCCCAATCCATTCCCACATTCAAAGTTAGTCCCTGTTTTTTTCTAAAAAGTTTGGTTTTTTGTGATATTCTCGTAAGAGATTATTACAGAGTGTAGTCATCTATGGAGGGCACGTAATGTGATGGCAAGCACAAACCCCAGAATAAATGCGTTAACTGGCGTTTTGGTGGCAAAATAGATTACATTTTATTTCTGTGAGTTGTTTGCAATGTATTTGTAGTGAAATATGGATATCTTGCGAACAGTTGTTATCCCTTTAAATTTATCCTATTGTTTGACGACGTGGATTACTGGATATTCTCCTAGACTCATGCTGATTTTAATCTAAAACTATTTAAAACTATTAGTTAAAACTATTTATATAACTGAATTGCTTTTTTGTGTAACAGTGTAGTAAGGTTTCTATGTCCATAACTGTACCTTATTCGTGAAGGTGTATATCAATAAAGAAATTTGAAATCTGAATCCTTGACACGGGACCGGCTCGTCTTGATCGCCCCTTCCCCTATCGTGGATTACGTATCGGCATCACAAAAAAGAGAAAGTATCGTATGTTATATTCATGAAGAAAATCCTATAATTCGACTACTCGTTAATTCATAAGAGCCGTAATTGTACACGCCGTTTCAGCAAGACAGGTTTTACATTAAGTAAGTACCTTTCAATATATTTAACGAATATTCCATTCACATTTATTTATTTTGCAAGGGCCTTTCACGTGTACTCGGCGACGCCGTCAAACTTTGACTTTTGACTGCGCTTTTGACTCGGTGGCATTCCCTGTTGTCAGTTGATGCAACCGATTCACTGCTGTATCAAAGTATTTTATATTAACGAAAAGGCATAGTTGAAATTTTTTTTAAAAAATCAGCATGGAAATCATGCTGGAGCAGTAGAGTAAGAATTTTTAAATGCCGTCAGTGTCGAGGTCTCTTTTTCAACCAAGTAGATTCTACGAGGTGTTCAGCCATTCGAAACATCAAGCAAAGTACCCATTTGTATATAAAAAAAAACTACTGCAGTGAAGTAGATATTCAATAGACTGGGTTTTCAGATGTTATTGTATTTAACTATTGCCTTGGTTGTAAGCACATTTTATTGACGAGGATTTTCAATGCACATACTATGGGAAAGTACACGGAGTACACCTATAGACTCTATAATAGAGTCTTGTGTACTGTATATATATAACATATTATTAACAGTCTAAATATGTTACTTTTATATGAACACTTTTAATTTCACAACAGAGGGCTACAGGGGTTAAAACAACGCAGTAGGTGCCTTTGGATATTAACATTTAGCTACTGCCATTGTCAATCAATAACTGCCTAACAAGGTATGTGAACACAGCAATCTTGGGTCCAAAGTCCACCTTGTTATAGCAAGCTGTAATAAGCATTCTGAAAAAAGACAAGTGCTTTATTAAAAGTCAAATGGTAGTGTACAAATGCTTGTCTAATATATCAGTTGGCTTTATTATTTATTTATCTGTATTTATTTATAATAATAATAATAATAATAATAATAATAATAATAATAATATATTCTGGAAGTAAATGGTATAACATTAAAGTAACTAGATGTTCACAATTCTGTTGAAACAAAATAAAAATGAAAAATATTTGTAACATTTGGATAGTAAAAATGAATTGTTTTCACTAATGGGAATGTATCAGACCAAGTACTTGTACAATACCTGTTGAAGCAGACTCTTATTTATTTGTAATGTATGTCTTTTTCATGGGGATTTCTTATTCTATCATATGTGTTATGTTTAAGTTAGATGTATTGCTATGGGATTGCAAGGCACTGGTCTTTTTTATACGTAAATGCATGATATAGAAAAACAAGACAAAGTTCAGCACAAAGTAATTTCATTAATCAAAATATTTGTGTAATGATTAGCAGTTTATAATCAGACTTTGTATGTCTGTCATAGTTTAAACATTGGACTCTCTCATTTCTCTATTTGCGTAACTTTTACTTTGTTTTCTTCTGTTCTTGTTCACATGTTCTTGGTTTCTAGCTTTACTATCTATGAAATATAGCAGTTTTCAGTTATATATATATATATATATATATATATATATATATATATATATATATATATATATATATATATATATATATATTTCTTTTTTGCTTAAAAATGTTTTGACTTTGCTGAAGTGATTTGATTCATTTTTATTTACCTTGTTTCTATTTACTTTTTCTGTTATGTTGCCTCCTTTTAATTATTATGAGACAGATATATTTTTACATCTTAATTTTTATATTTGTCTCTATATTGCTCAAAGTGGAAACTTTGCACACCATTTAGAATGCAATGAAAAGAAATCACAATCCGCAATGTCAATGTAAACTTGCTAAAAAGGTTCTCAAGTGCTGTTTACTGAACAGTTAAATATAACGCAAGAGTACATGTGCCTCAGCATAATATTTATCAGTTAAAGTATTAAAAATGCATCTTTAGAAAAATACTCAAATAAGAAGGAAAGTTTTTTTCTCAAATTAAGGTATGATTCCCCTGTGTTAGGAAGCCTAGATAAGAAACGCTTTGTATTCTCACAATATTATCCAGATAAATACCCTAATAGTAAATACAAGGAAATTATAGAATTGCTTTGAAAATAAAAAGTCTGTGATGCTTGTTTATAAAAAAAAAAGTGATTAATTTTGTGTGTGTGTGTGTCTTACTTTCATGGTTTACTGTAGAAGACGATGGAAGCCGATGCACAGATATAAATCCTGAAGCTATACACACATCCTGTAAAAGAGTACAGGAAGATACAAAGCATCCATGTCTTTACCAACCTCCACCTTTTTACTGATGGCATGTAGAGCAATTCTAGCAGTTTTGGGTCTAGACAAAGTATTCAATACCTTGCATCTGGGACTGTACATGTTTTGTATTTGAGTCTGTGTTGAGTTATAATATTGCTTTTGCTACAACAGTCAATACAGTGTAGTTGACGTTCATCATCACAAATTACTTGTGTATTTTATTTCACTTATTGACTATTATGCTCTAAGATGGATGTAGGTAAAATGTTTTGATGATTGGGACAATTTCAAATGTGTTCATCATGCCTTTATATTTCATTTTATGTTTAATGCAAACACTTCAAAATAAAATTGAGATGAAAAATGTTTATCAGTTCAGTTTAACCATTTTATGCTGAGAGCCCTGCTCTATTCAAATAAAAAATTACCTTTTTTTGCATAATTTTTAGCAATTCATTCAAAGTTTAAAAAAAAATTAACCTTCAATTAAATCAGTTTTTAAAAAAGATTTTTTTCTCAAAACTTCCTCAAAATTTTGTGAGTAGTTGATAATAAATATTCAGATAACTTAAAATCCAGGGAATTCACGGAATTCCTGACCTTGGATTACCTTGAGTTGAGGTAGTAAACAGCAGCCAGCAAGTTGTTTATTGATCCAGATGAGATGAGTAATGGGATTGTGAAACAGAGAGAAAAACATTACAGCATGAGAGCCATCAGCCAGATTGGTATTGACACAGTTCTGTAGTATTGAATGTCTTTTGCTTTGTTGTTTCTGATGTCTAATTAGACAGCTCTAATAAGAAAATACATTATGATTATTTTGGGTCATATACTTTTCTTTATCACGTGCTCTGTAATGGGATCCTTCAGTTAAAAATCATTGGATCCTCTGCTATTATATTTTCTATATATTTGTTGTATTTACTGATGATATGCCATATCTGTTTACAGGGGAATTCATGTTTCTTATCAGTAGAGATGCGCCATATACAAGTGCCCATTTATATAAAGAGGATAGAAATTTACAACTATGTAAACAAGATGATCATTACTG